TCTTCCCTTTTGACATTCAGCAGATAAGGTAATCAATGGAGCATGCTGTCTTTTTTTTTTTTTTTTTTTTAGTGAATGTGTGTGTGAATTAAGTACTAAAAGCCTTGATGAATGAACTCATCTTTGGATTTTCTTTCCATTGAGAGTACTACCACACATACAACAGATTTTCAGACAGACTAATTCAATCTATAAATACTGTATAAGAGAATCGCTTTTTCAAATTTTTAAAATACAAAATAATTCTTAAATTTCAGAAGATGTGGCTGTAAGGCTTATATTTAGATATTTCACATAGCAGTTCTTCTTTTTTGATGTGAAAAACTATTTAGCATGTTAATTTTTTTTAAGTGCAAGTGTTTGCTTGAAATTAAATATAAAATTTATTCTTTGGCTGTTTATATTTACATATCTAACCAAATTTGACAAATTGCATTTGCACAATAATCTGCATCTTACACTACTTGATTTGTATTGAAGTGTACAAATCTGAAGATGTAGGTTCACCTCAAAATCTAAATTCTGCCATGTTATTCCAAAATAAATCATTGTAATTCAAATGGAGATGTTTTTAATCAAAATCAAAACTTTGCAATGAGATCATAATTAATAGTTTTTTTTAATACAAGTCTTCTAAGTTTACACACTTGCTTTATAACATTAATAGATTTAACGTAGGCTTTACTCCTACAAAAAGAGGTTACTTTAAGGTGTATTATTAACACTAAAAAAACAGAATGTATGTTTTCAATCTACCTTTTTATGTACCTTTCAGAAATATACTTTACCTTTTGAGAATATTGTTAAATTGTGTGTACTTGACTTATACTGACACTTCACTTATGCTGACACATTTAAACATTGATCAATGTATAGTGATTACAATATTCACATTTTGGTCACTGAAGCTCCGCCATGCTCACTTGAAGCACTGATTATTGTTCTCAATGTTTATATAAGTTAAAGTCTAGATTAAATTTGTTCATACTAGAAAGTAATTGCATCTCTTCACAAAATAAGTTCCCTCCATTCCCCTTAAAATCTCTTTACGATATAATTTTTAATGGAGGTAAAGAAATCTCCCATGCAGCTTTAGTTATAAGTACTGTCATTAAGTTTTCTGCAAAAAAACAAAAGTTGGAATTGGTGACCCATGAGGGTGGGTAAACAAGACAGAAGTTTCACATTGGGATCAATTATCTCTCATTTCCCTGTGGTTTACCCCTCACTTTGTCTTGGGTCAAATTGTCTCATAATCTATTTTAACAGAAGAGAAAAAAATCTAAACAACATTTTTTGGTTTTGAAATTTGGTGACTTTTTCTAAAATCTCCACAACATTAGGAAAAAAAAATTCTTTTGTCATGTTTTAATGAAGGCAAGTATAAATACAAAAATGCCGCTTAATGTCTGTGAATACTGTCTTGCTAAAAGCATTGCAAACTCATGCAGGTACTTTTGGCATTAGAAAAATAGCCTTTGCTTTATTCAGAAATGATTGAATGATTAAACATTGGTGAAATAGTTTACACTTATGAGGGAAAACCTAGACATTCAAAGAATTTGTGATGAAGGTTGTTTCTTCAAACAAAATAGATTTTCAATTCAATTCAATTCAGCTTTATTTGTATAGCGCTTTTACAATGTAGATTGTGTCAAAGCAGCTTCACATAAATGGTCATAGTAACTGGAACAGTGTGGTTCAGGTTTTAGTGTTTAAGTTCAGTTCAGTTCAGTTCAGCTCAGTTCAGTGTAATTTAATCATTACTGAGAGTTCAAACACTGAAGAGCAAATTCATCGATGCGTAGATCTACCAATCCTGAACCATGCGAGACAGTGGCGACAGCGGAGAGGGAAAAAAAACTTCACCTGATGCGAGTGAAGAAAAAAAACCTTGAGAGAACCAGACTCAGTTGGGCACGACCATTTTAATTTCTCCGCTGGCCAAAAGTCTTGTGCAGAACTTCATTCGCCGTGGTTTATGCTGGAAGATGGCCTCAATGAAGACTCGTCTGTCCCTGGAGCGTCGCTGGAATCAGACACATGTTCTCCACTCCCCACGACCATCAGCGCAGCAGCAGCTCAGGATATGGCCTGGTCCCGGATATGGAATCCTTGGGATCATCACGTCGCTGGTCTTGGATCCAATCAGTGACTCCGCCTAATCTGAGGACCTCGGGATGAGTATCCCCAGGTGAAAATAGAGAATAAAGAGAATAATTAGCGTAGCTGCTGTTCATAGTGTATAAGCAAGATGCAGAAGCCAGTGTGGAACCCACTAGGTGATGCATTGAGTGTATGCTTTACTAAACAGATAGGTCTTTAATCTAGTTTTGAACTGGGAGAGTGTGTCTGAGCCTCGGACGTTATCAGGAAGGCTATTCCAGAGTGTAGGAGCCATGAAAGAGAAGGCTCGACCTCCTTTACTTGATTTTGCTATTCTAGGTACTACCAGAAGCCCTGAATTTTGAGATCTTAAAGAGCGAGTTGGTTCGTAGCGAGACAGAAGGTTGGTTAGATAAACAGGAGCTAGATTATTTAGAGCTTTATAGGTGAGAAGTAATATTTTAAATTCAATACGAGATTTGAGGATTGAAATGAAATGTGCATGCTTTATTTTAGTAGTTTAGTGAAGGTAGTCATTTTTGACCCAAAGGGAGAATGGTGTGTATACATTTTAAGACAACAGGAAGGTTAATATTCTTTGAATACAAAATTCATATTTAACCTCTGCTTACTGCTTGACATTAAGAACATTTTACTAAAAATCTATTTTACATGCTACAAATATAAAGCTGGTAAGGAGTAACATGGTGATGTTCAAAAAACCAACTTTGTCTTTTGCTTCATCTGGAGTCAGTTCACACAAAGGTAAGAATTAATTATGAATGGTGTGATTGTTAAAGGGCATATGATAAAGCTTCTTTCAAATTCTGAACTGAATACTAGATATTCAGTGACCTGTGTGCAGCATTATCTTACTTTGGTGTAGACAGAGAACAAAAACCTCACTCTGTATGCACAGATCATTTGATACAGTCAACAGCGCTTCTACACTGCTGAACCTTTCCTTCACCCGTACTCGACTCATCCTCATGTTCAGATTGTAATTATCTCCCTGCTGGGTAGTGGTTAATCTTTGTGTTCGAGTAGAAGAAATTGACTTCATTGTCTTTGACATTAACAGTTTAATTTCACAGCTGCTGATGGTCCAGATTATCTAGATTTTACTGTACATAAACTGAACGTGGCTAGAAAGAAAATCAAATTGTAAATCATTTAGACTTTGAAGGATTTCTTTACCCAGACATTTTTGTTTCTTCAAACAAAATTGATTTGAGGATTGAAATTAAATGTGCATGCTTTATTTTAGTAGTTAGAATTTTTTGTCATTAATTCTTCAAACCCATACAAAATGTCATATATTTTTGAAAATAAAATGATAAACAATGATTTAAATATTTATTTTTACATCCCCAAATCAGAAAAACTTGTGACAGTATGGAAAACACATATAATAAAAAGAAAGTAGTTATTTCCAAATTTGCTTTGACGTTATTGCAGACATTATAGTTTGTTTTGTCTGGTCAACTTCATTTCATTTCTAAATATACATCCTTCCCTGTCAAAGTTGGGACAGGAGCAGGTTAAGGCTGGTAATCAGGTAAATTGGTTAAATAATTATGTGATTTGAAACAGGTGATTGTAATTGTGATTTAGTACAAAAGCAGCATCCATGAAAGGTTTAGTCCTTAAGAAGCAAAGATGGGCAGAGGATCGCCAGTTTGCCAACAAATACATGAGAAAATTATTGAAATGTTTAAAAAGAATGTTTCTCAAAGAAAGTTAGGAAGAAATTGAGTTAGGAAGAATAATTCACATTCAATAGTGCATAACATATTTAAAAGATTCAAAGAAACTGGATGAATTTCAGTGCTTAAAGGATAAGGGCGCAAGCTGAACTACCATTATCTCCAATCTCTCAGTTGGCACTGCATCAAGAATTATCATTCATCAACAAGTGATATCAGCAGATATCATATCACGTACCACAATATGTAGTTACACCCACAAATGCCAGTTAAAACTGTACTGTACCAAAAGGAAGCCCAATTTAACAGTGTCCAGAAGTGCCATTGACTTCTCTGGGCTTGGAGGCATCTGGGATGACCATCACATGTACTGTACTGTGGTCAGATCAATCAGTATTTCAGGTATTTTTTGGGGGGAGAAATGGACACCATGAGTTTCCGGCCAAAGAAGAAAAGGATCACCAGACTGTTACCAGCAACAAGTTCAAAAGCCAGGGTCTGTCATGGTTCTGTATGGAATTGTGTCGGTGCCCTTGGCAAAGGTAACTTGCATGTAATGGCATCATTAAAGCTGTAAAGTACTGAGAGATTTTGGAGATGCCCAGGAACATCCATGCATATTTCAAAGCTCTGACTGCGGAGGAAAAGGATATACTGTAGGTACCTGACTGACCTGTCTGCAGTCCTGACTTTTCTCAATTAGAGAACGAATGGCAAAAATGTGACAACGAAGACCCTGTACTGCAAAAACTCTTCATCACTTGGTGTCTGGAGTCCCTAAACAGAAATAGCATTGATCTCAATGAAAATATTTTAAGAGGACCCTAAAAAGTAACAGACCCAGCTCTTAAGCTTATGGATATTTAGCCTAATAATATACAAAAGAGGAGGAAAATGTGCCAGGATGTTAAAAAACGTACCTTTAAAAGATCACCTACAACTTTACTGAATAATATTCACGGCACAATTAAAATCATCCCAGCCGGGTTCATTATGTTTTAGGCTCCCCTTGAAACATTTCTGTTGTGTTTCTTGATATTTGCATGCACTGTGAAAATGCAACACATTTTTGTAAATGTGTTTGTGTTGTGAGGATTTGCAACACTATGCTGTAAAACCAGTGAGGGTCTTTTCTTAAATTGTTGGTGTTTTTTGTAATTACTTGGGATTTCATGTTGGAGCCATTTATAGGTTGCAATTTTCTTTCGCACCACTAGAGGGTGTGTATGGTATTTATGCTCTCCTCACGACGATCTGAGGTGTAGAAGAAGGCCAAACAAACTTTTTGACCGGCATGGCTGTGAGAACGGGTTTATGTTTGTTTTGATGTTTACTTTTAATTTTGAGAAAATGGACAATACATGGATTGGAATATCCAACTTTATTTGCAAAGGTATGGACATTTCACTTTTTTATTGACCTGTTCAAGCAACAAATGCGTCAGAACCAACGACCAAAATATTCGCATCTACACTTTACAACACTGCAGCACGTTAAGTTCTCTTGGTCACTACTTTTGGACCACAGAAATTGGCAAAGATCTTAGTTATAACAGCTCTTTTTAAGGAAGTAAATTAGCTATTTTAGAGTTACTGATTGGCATACAATATATTTATATACTACTAAGTATTAAGCATAATAAAGGTATACCTTATTCATTAAATATAGTTATCAATAATAATAATAATAATGATGATGATGATGATGATGATGACCTTTCAGAAATGTATTCACATATGTTCTGCCCTACATCTATGAATAGTCATTTGACTTTACTTGATATCAGCTTTTTTTCTTTTTTCTCTCTTGTGGCGATTTCAGAAGTAATATTATCAACCCTACTTCATCTTTATTACTTTCTAATGACTCTGGGCCAGTTTGATGAATACTAATTAGATGCTGATATGTAAATGTTAGCAGTTGTGTCCTTAAAACTATAAGGTTTGTAATGAATTAGAATTCAAGCATATTCAAACATAAATTTTACATGAATTCTATAATAATGACACATTTAATTGGATTCAATACCCTGGATTGGTAGTAACTTAAATGTTTTACACATTAAGAAACAAATTAATGTGTTGTAAATAGTCATCATATAGCAATTTTGGGAGTCACCCTCAGTTTCACTAAATCATGCGTATATTGCAGATTTGATGTATTGGTTAATGTATTGTATTGGTCCAGCTTTACTAAACTAATACTATGTTTGGCATTTTAATATTTTTTTTATTTTTACAAGTACCAAGTACAGAGGGTGACTCCATTGTGTACCTTAGGTTTCTTCTTCATTCTTGTCATCTTCTTTCCTAAATGTGTCCAGGCAGGCCGTAGGTCCTTAAAGCACCACATTTGGCAGGATGGTTTGAAATGCCTTTACTTCTTAAGTGCACACACTGATCAGATCATGGCGGGTACTAAAATAAGTACATTTACCTTTTTTGAGCATTTCTCAGCAACCACTCAGGCAAGAAGTAAAGCTTTTTTTACCTCTACAATTTCATGAATAACTGTATTCCAGCACTTTAAGCTTTAGGTCCACATATCATTCAGATCATGTAAATAAAAAGGATTATCAAAAAAAAACAATTAAATGGTTTAAAAGATGTAGGTTTAAAAGATGCAGCTTCATAAGTTTTTTTAAGCCTTGGCTAGAAAATGTATTGGTTTATATTTTTTAAATGGTGTGACTTTTTAAAATTATTTTAAACAATTTTTGTCATTGGTCTCTGTAGATGACACATACAAGATTTAATGAGAATCAAGCCTAGTTCACACTAGAGGATTTTAAGCCTGCTTTGAACTCTATTTGGAAGTTAACGAGCTCGCCGACAGATCGGGCTGTGATCGGGAAGAAATCTGCGGGTGCACAGCGCTCGCCACTCTTTATGTATGAACTACTGAACAACGCATCAACGAGGCTCGCTGACGCGTCGCAGACACCTCGCAGACTAAAATCCAATATTTAGCATGCTGAATATTCCAGAGCAGCCGGCTGACTCAACCCCACCTGTGGTCAGACGTAGTGACGAGCTGCAGCCAATGAGAGAGCATATCAGCATGAGCTGAATGCCTGTGTGCTCAGGAGCTCAACAGAAACATCTGTGATTGGTCAGAATGGGCATCGGTGCACTCGCTTCATTCTGCGTTAACACAGAAATGAGAGTAGGCCATATTAACAGTGGAACTAGAATTCTGTAACTATTAGAATTACCATACTGCTCATTCTGACCGTTCTCATATAAAACGCCATATTGTCACAACATAATTACATTCAAAGCTATTATTGAGATATTAAAATTAAGCTTTGAATGTCTGGCATCATATTTAATGACACCATTACCCTAAAAATATGATCTTTTTTGGAAATACAGCCTATAAATATGCAGTTAAGATACTAGAACACGCAAAAGTACTGTCTTTCATTTTCACTTTCAAACAGGAGCTATTTCACGGCACAGAATATGCTGTTTTAAAAGATATCTGAAGTAAATTGATGTTTTTGCCATCAGAAAGTTTTGTTTATGTTAACAGGAAGTTGCTAGGCAAAAAAATGCACACATATTTAAAGTCACAGCGAAAAGTATCAGACATGCATGCAGTCATTTTGACCAATATGGTAATTTAAGGCAGAAATGCTCAGTTCTTTACTGTTTTATAATTTAAAAAAATAATAATGTCAGAAAAGAATACACTGATAGTTAGAAAGCGGCAAGGTGTTATAGATATGTTAGTTTTATTTCAAAGAGTTATACAATTACAAAAATTAAAAACTCTGTTTATCTATCCACTCGAACCTTGCAGATGAGTGATTGATCCGCTGATGATGCATCAGCTGATTTGACAATGTTTTTAAATGCTTTCTGGAAAGCTTGAAATGCTGTCAGTGATGTAATCAGCACACAAGCAGCCAATAGTGTTCAGCTCTTTCTGACGACTCCTCCCTCAATTTCATTGGCTGTGGTTTGGTAGCTTGAATGAGCTGTTGGGGAATGAGTTGTTGTCAGATCATGTAGTGTGTGACCCCCCCTCTTGTGGATTATTCACGTAGTGTCGCATAGTGTGAACACCACAGAGATTAAAAGACACAAAGTCAAGTCATGTAGTGTGAACTAGGCTTCAGCAAAGAGGATTATAGAAGGAGACTGAAAATTTGTCTTTTGGCAACTTGTTGTACTAATATTGACCACTTGATGGATTCACAGGATGAAGGGGGATAACATTCGTTGCATTCAACAGGTTTTCTCATGCACCAACCCCCAACACAGAAATTCAGGGCTTAAGGGAAATCCAAAGTTTGCCAGGGTGCACGATCATGTGCATTTAACTCACAAAAATGATATTTATGACATCACTTGAATGCAACATATAGTTCATGTGAAGCAAAAGCTCAATGAAAGCATTCTGGACAGCTGCAGCACAGCTCTGATTTTAATTTGCACAGAGAAACCCTATTAAATTTATAATCCAACATCTCAACTGCTCAACAATCTCAACTTCTAAATGCAAAATTAATTAAGAAAACGTTTGCAAAATTTTTGTTTTAAACAAACAAACAAACAATAGAACCATCACAGCCGTTTTAATGGTTTCCAATACACCAATAAAAGAATAACAATCATCTTTTAACATTTAACCAGCATAATGTAATGTTTTCTAGTGCATTTTGGGACACATTACATTATTGGTTTTAACATAACATTAATAGAAGGTGAAAGAATTACCAGTTTAAATTTCTAAATGTTAATACAGTTTTTATTCCACTCCTAGACCGGGACTGGAAGCCACTGTCCCTAGAGAACAGTGATTATTAATAAAGACAAGACTGCAATATGTATGAACAAAAGCAATCCATTAGTGGTGCTACTTCACAGTAGTCTGCTTATATCTGGCTTGCAAACACTTTCCAGATCCATAATGCTGATTCTTCCAAAATTTCTCAAACTGATTCTTCTTCCATGGTGTTTTTTTCCTGCCTTGTTCTTGCCAGAGTTGCATTTAAAATATCTTTTTCAGACCTATAAAGCAGTCAACGGCCTGGCATGTTACATAGACACTGCTCACCAGTTTTATGAGCTCAGCATTTTACAATAGACTCAAAGCACTATATTTCAAGATGAACAAGGAGGACTGTTGGTAAAACAAAACTTAATAAGAACTCTGATCTCTTCTACTAATAAAAGCTAACTCTTTTCCCTTTATGACTCATATTAGCACTCTTGAAAATGTAAATTGGTGCTTTTATAAATTTTTACAACACATTACAACATTTTCACAGAAACATCCTCTGTGTGAATTTATGCATTTCATAAATGTATTTGCCCATGTCAAGCTTGCTCATTACAGCTCCTGATATAAATGAAGCATTTCAAAATTTCACACTGAATGCATGTTTGAGTACGCTGTATGTATCTAAAATTATCTTAATTAAAATAATGTATGATGGTAATTTTCAATAAGACATCTAAAAAACTGAATCTAGTATTCATTTTTACAGCATAATGCATGTTAATGTGTTTACCTCATGTTGATGCAGGAAATAAAAAAAGTTTTATGTTATCTTTTGAAACATATATAATGTAAAACTATTTGCAAAAATGATTTTTAATTAACAAAGAATAAGGGAAAAAAGTATATCACATTTAAAACTAAAATATGTGTGGCAATGTGATGTTGAGGACTAAAGTAAAGACTGCTGAAACATTCAATTTTGACTGAGCAGGAATAAATTATATTTTAGAATATATTATTATTTTAAATGTAAGTATTTTTAGTTTTTAAAAATTATTTCTAATAATATATCTAATAAAGTTTCGTAATGTTGCTCTCTTCTTAAGGGAAATGAGTGAATGAATATAACTGTTTTTAAATACAAAGGTTTATCCGATGGTGAGAACTGATTGGTCCTTACTAGCAATCGTATCATCATCTACAAGGCACAGCTGATTGGTTCCTTGTAAATAATCAGCCAATGAGTTAGCTGCTGAACATTTAAATTCTTGGCCTTTGTTTGGTGTAGTGGTTTGTAGTGTGCACTTAGAAAGCTTCCACTTTATAAAGTGTCACCTGTACAGATTTTCTACTGCTACTTTCATGTATTTTATTTGCAGAAGAATGTCTTGTCCTGTATGTGTATTTGACGGCAACAACAATACTCAGCAGCAACTTATAATTTTGTCAAAAACAAACACATTGTTACACATTTTTCCTTTACCATGTCAGTTTCTGATTTGGCATGAACAAACTTAGGAGTGTATTAGAAGATACCTTTTCATTATGACCACATTGAGTTCCCACCAAATTATTCAGTTATTCACCAAAGCATTCATTTTAAAGAGAGGAAAAAATCAGAGCCACATTCACTTTGACTAAAAACCTTGTTTGGCAGAAACT